CCCCATATTTCTTTTCTGTAAGAGGCAGCTTTACACACAACTTAATAAATAAGCAAGAGAGAAAATTGTTACCATACAATACCAAGAATACAGCTTTTTAACAACAAAATACATAAAGCAAAGGTCTAAAAGGAAATGCACCAAAACAACAGCAGCAGTGTTATAGGAGTGTAAATAATTCTTAATATAGCTTCCAAAATTTTTTAAATGTTGACATAATAGCTTTTTTAGTGTTTCAACAATGAGAAAGATCAAATAGATAAGATTCTATCATTAATACACCTTATGTTAATCTTAAAGCTGAGCAGTATAACACAAAACCATTCCATGAGGTAAGACAAGAATCAGTCCCTAAAGTAAAGTGCTTTACCAAGATCAAATATAGCAATTCCATCATTCTTATAACACAAGAACCTCAGAAATGGAAGGCAGCAACTAAGCTAAAAAAGAGAAAACCTTTACCTGAAAACATTAGAGCAAACTTCTTCCCAGGTGAGAGCACTCAACAAGGGAGGTCAAGCTAAACAACAAAGTCAAACAAACACAATGACAGGGTCTTGAAGGTTACATTTCTGCTACAAATAAGGAATATAAATTTAATGGTAAAAAGACCAAGATAAATCAACCAGAAATATATATCTGGGTTAGAAAAATGGCAATCAACAAATGATGCTAGAACTGCATATTAACATGTAAAAGAATGAAACTGAACACCCCCCCTTACACTACAGGCAAAAATTAACTCAAAATGGATGACAGACCTTAATGTAAAGATAAAATTATACAACTCAGGAAAAAAACAGGAGGAAATCTTCATAATCTCGGTTAAAGCAAAGGCTTCCTAGATACAACACCAAAAGCACAAGCAAAAAAATGAAAACTAGATATACTGGACTTACATCGAAATTTAACTTCTGTGCAACAAGAAAAATGAAAAAACAAAAGAATGGAAGAAAGTATTTGCAAATCCTATTCCTGGTAAGAGACTTATATCCAGAATATATAAAGAACTCTTACAACTCAATAATAAAAAGACAACTCAAGTAAAAACTGAGCAAAGGATCTCAATAGACATTGCTCCAAAAAAGATAAATAAATAATAAGCACATGGGCTTCCCTGGTGGCGCAGTGGTTGAGAGTCCGCCTGCCGGTGCAGGGGACACGGGATCGTGCCCCGGTCTGGGAGGATCCCACATGCCGCGGAGCGGCTGGGCCCGTGAGCCATGGCCACTGAGCCTGTGCGTCCGGAGCCTGTGCTCTGCAACGGGAGAGGCCACAACAGTGAGAGGCTGCATACCGCAAAAATAATAATAATAATAATAATAAGCACATGAAAACATTAACCATTAGGGAAATGCAAATCAAAACGACAGTGAGATGCAACTTTGTATCCACTAGGATGGCTAAAATAAAAAAGATACTAACAAGTGCTGACAAGGATATGGAGAAACTGGAACACTTACACATTGCTGGCAGGAATGCAAAATGGTACAGACATTTTGTTAAACAGTTTGGCAGTTCCTCAAAATGTTATATGATTCCATTTATACGAAGTGAACAGAATAGGCAAACCCATAAATAAAGTAGTGACTGCCTTGGGAAGGGGGACAGAATGAAGAGTGAGTGCTAATGGGTATGGGGTCTCTTTTGGGGGTGATGAAAATGTTCTAAAATTAGACTGTGGTGACTGTTACACAACTCTGTGAATACACTAAAAAAACACTGAATTGTATAGTTTAAATGGGTGAACTGTACGGGATATAAATTATATCCCAATAAAGCTACTGTTTTAAAGGCAATGTATTTCACTGTTAAATTTAAAAGTCTGTTTTAAAATCTTAAATAGCAATTAAAACTGAATGTTAATTGCTAGCACCCAGAGAGCAAAGTGAGGAAATGGCTTATTCTGAATAACTGATGTGAAAGAAGATGAGAGATATGTAAACGTGATTTGAAAAATGAAAATATGAAGCTATTGTTCATGAGTGATTTGTGATCACTATTTTAGTATTAGCACTACAAGGCAAGAATCAATATTATTTTAAAAACAAGACATGCCCTAACATCTTATGGGCCTCTTTCCCCATCTGCAAAATCAGGACTTGTAGTTAACAAAATAATTTTTGAGATGAAGACAGAGAAGAAAGAGATGGCTGCTTTCCCAAAAGAATTTGCTAGGCAACAGCCTCTATATGCATGGATAAGCTTGGGACTTTCAGAATTACAGTAAGTAAGGAAAGGCACTCCTTACGATACATGGGAATCAACTAACATTGCATTTACTGTTCAAGCTTAAATAAGGTTAGTTATATAATGAAAAAGTGAAGCCACTGTGGCTCCTCAAACAAAAAGGGATAAAACTGGAAGAATAATTTGGTACCACAAATTATTATTATCTAGTTCCTCTTCACTTACAAAACCTTTCTCAGGAACAGCTAAGAACCCGGTGCCTTAAAAATGCTACCTCAAAAAAGAAAACCCCCAAAAAAAAAAAAAAAAAAAAAAAAAAAAAAAAATGCTACCTCAGAAGAAATAGGAAAGACTATGAAGAGGGATAGAGTTTGAGATTTACAGTTAAGAGTAAAGTTAGGGAAGACAGCCTACTGCCTTTATCAAACCTGTTTAATAACTGTGATGGAAAACCAGGAGATAATGATGATCGAAGTGCACCCAGGGTAAAGCATGAGATGTGAAACATCAAGTCTGTGCATGCTGCTGCCTCTGAATGGAATAAGGAAGAAAGATGAGATCATCCCCTGTGAATATGGGAAGAACAAGCTAGACTAAAGACAAAGACAGTGGATATTACTTGTATTATAGGATGTTCTAGTGATTGAATCTTGGGTCCAATAGTAAGATTTAGGGTTATCCACCAAAGACCAGACGAGGCCAAAAATGAAAAGCCCCTAATAATGATAAAAGGGAGTCAGGAAAAGCAACTAAAAGTAGTAGGATAGTGCAGCGGTTTTCAAAACTTTTTTTTTTTTTTTTACCATGTCCCCTTAGGACAAAAGATCCCTAAGCCATCTACCCCAACAAAACCTGACTTTCCAGTGAAAAAAGAACTCAGTGATAACAATGAGGCAAATCTGCGGGAGAATGGGTAACATATTTTAAACATAATATGTATACTCTTCAGACAAGATAATGGAAAATTACAGGCCAAAATTCAGTTGAACAAATATGCATTACTATTCAGTGGACAGCTAACATAATAAATCACAACAAACTAAACTGATAACACTAAATTAAGTCATTTATCCAATAAACCAAGAACGACAGCAATTAAAAACCGCAACCAACTCAAGACAACATTGATAGTGTTCTGATGAAGAATCCTTCCTAAAAACTCTGGTAATCCCAACTGTTCCAGCAGGAGCTTTGCTTGGCTGCCAACTATATAGCTCAGCAGCCAAATTTCTTAGTAGAATACTGAAACAGCATCCTCAGTAATTCTAATAACATTTTGTTTCATGAAAACCAAATATTAATAACCATTAATAATGTACATAGAATACAAGTAGTCCTTAGTTTTTATAAAAGTAAAGATAATGAAATGAGGGTCATTCACCCCTAAGAACTCAAGAAAATGTGAAAAGAGAGGAGCAAGATGGTCATGATCATAATGCAGTAAGGGACAAAAAGCAAACTACTAAGGATGGTCATGTCCCATGTCCAGGGATGGCACTGGTAGAACTTGCTAACAATATGCCCTGGAGAAGCTGTGCGGGTGGAAATGAGGAGTCTAGTCTCCAGCCTGCCCCTCCTTCAAACACTTTCATGAGGCAACTCTCCCCATGAAAAAACAAGCAGTGAGTAATAACTTTTTTGAAGGGAGGAACAGCGACCCAAGACTGTACAAGGTGGGTATGATAATTCTCTCTGTTGGCTGTATGGAGATCAGAAGGTGCCACAGCAAGGACGAAGAAAAGCTAGTTCTAGGGCACTAATAAACTGAGGGGAAAGAAAAAGGTAGTTTGAAATTGCACTTGGTGAGTAATTAACATAAAGTACTGGTAGATGGTGATCCCCAACTGAGGCAGAAAAACAGAGATTAAGAACGCAGACTCTGGATCCAGAATGCGTGAGCAGGAATCACGACTCTCCTAATTTATTTTCTCTGTGACCTTGGGCAAGTCACTTAACCTCTCTGTACTTCATCTGTAAAATGAGGGCAATAATAGTACCTTCCTAATAGGGCTGTTGTGCGGTTTGAATAAGTTATACTTGTAAATCGCTTAATAAATGTCTTGCACTTTACATAGTAAGTGGTACCTAAGTTTTGTTAAGTTGAGGTGGGTGGCGGCTTGTTTTGACAACTCCAAATAAAATGGGGGTGTGTGGGCAAAGTAATGGTCACAGGGAACGGAGGGGAGATAACGTCTCTTCGGTGAGGAGTACCAGGAGGCTGCACATTTGGGGAGGTCGTCCTCCTGACAGGGCTCAGCGGGCACCCGCTCACAGGAGAGGTTGAAGGAAACTTCTCTCTTTCCAGGCCTTGGATTTTCAAGAACTCGATTCCGAGAAGTGGCTGTGATTCTGAGGCAAGAGTTTAATTTCCGAGCAAGATACCGTGGGGTGAATTTTGTTTTGCCTGAAGAGCAGGTCTTGGGTCTAGGGCAGGACGGGGTTTGAGTCGGAGACAGAAGAGTGATGTCCTCAGGGGGAAAGCTCTGCTAAAAGCCACCACCTGCCGGGCGCGCTCCCGCTGCCCGCGCCGGTCTAGCCTCGGAGGGAGAACGACGGCTGCCCCAGCCCCGAGGGAGGCAGGAGCCTACAGAGTAACGGGGCTGCCGGCGCCGACGGTCGGGAAGGGATCCCACGGCGGGACTGCGGAGGGGGACCCACCTCACCGAGGGTGGAGGGTCGCTCGCCTGGCTCTCCGAAGGGAGGGGCCGGCGCTGGCCCTGCGGGTGGCCGGCCCGGCGCCCAGCCCCGAGGAAGCCTGCCCCCGGATCCCGCCCGTGCCCGCCCATCTGTGGCCCCGGTACCCAGGGTACCTGAGCGTAGGCCCGATGCAGGCCGTGTCGGTGCTCTCGATCTCTCGGAGGATCCGCTCGTGCTCCGCCGCTGTCTCCAGGCTCTCCGCCTCCGCCATCTTACCCCGCTCCATAGACTGGGGGTGCCCGGCAGCGCGTGCCCTCCTTCAGCTCGGCTTACCTTTCGCTCGCTCGCGCTCTCTCTCTCTCTCTCTCTCTCCCTCTCTCTCGCTCTCTCTCGCTCTCTCTCTCTCTCTCTCCTCTCTCTCACCCCAGTCTCCAGAGCCTCCTGAGCCTCCTGCTACCCGCAGGACGACCCCTCCCTCACATGCGGCACGCCCCCTAGCGTCCCCACGTCCGCAGACGTTCCGCGCAATGCCCTCTGGGATTGTAGTTCTCTGGGAGATGGGGTTCCACACGTTATTCATTGAATCGGCAAACACGTGTTATAAGCTCCACTATAAGGCAGGAGCAGTTAACGACTTCATATGCAACGGAGATTAAGTCCGGCAATGGCACTAAACCTACAAATTCTTAAGACCCTTGCCTCAAAGTACAAAAGCCTCTATAGGCACGAATATTAAGAAAGGACTAACTAGGTTTCTGCGGACAGCGATCTTACAAGTTAACAGGGAGGAAAAGCTCGAAACTAAGAAATAAGGCATAATGTACCTGTAAGCCAGTTCAGAGAATCGAGCACAGCGATCACTTCTGGCTGCGAAGGATTCATTGAGAGACTAAGCCTGAACATTTTTTAAAGATGTGATTGGAAGGTGTGAGGAGCACCCAGAAAGCCAACAAAGACTTCATTTGCACTGGTGTGTAGAGAAGTAGTAGCAAGAGATGGGGCTGGAAAAGCATCTTGGAAAAGGAATACCAGGAAGAGAAATTTGTACTTTATTCTAATGGCTCCACTGGTCCAACAACCAACTGCATCAAAAGCACCTTGGATCCTTTTTTTTAATACAGACCAAAGGTCCTACATATAGACATTCTTATCCAGGCATCTGCATTTCATAAATTCACCAGATTAGAATTTTTAAATCACATTTATTGATCACTGCTTGAGTTTTAAAATATAACACAATGACTGGGAATCCACTGAAGGTTTTTAAGAAGAGTAGTGACACAAACCAAATCTTGACCTTAGGAAAATTAACCTAAAGCAAGTGTGCAAGGTGGACAGAAATAGAAAATTTGGAGACAGGAAAATGCTATAGAAAATGTTAAGACCTAAACCAGGGAAGTGGCAATGAGAATGAAAAAGAATGGACAAGTAGGAAAAGCATTGTAAAAGCAGAATTGGCATGATTTACTAGGTATGGGGAAGGACGATGTTTGGTATTACTCCAAGGTTTGGAGCAGAGTAGCCGGGAGAATGGTGCCATCAACAAAAAAAGGCATGTAAGAACCAAACTGGAAGTTGAGGCTAAATAATTTATGCCATGGATAATTATGCAATCATCAAGGAGAAAGAGAAAAGACTCTATATTCAGATATGAAACTGTCTTCAAATTGTAGGGTAGAGTGAAAAAAAATGCATGAAACAGTATATAGAGCATGTTTTCATTTAAAAAAAATATTCAAGCAACCTAAGTGTCCATCAGCAGATGAATGGATAAAGAAGACGTGGTATACACACACACACACACACACACACACACACACACACACACAATGGAATACTACTCAGCCATAAAAAAGAATGAAATGTTGCCATTAGCAACAGCATGGATGATGGACCTGAAGGGTATCATGCTAAGTGCAATAAGTCAGACAGAGAAAGACATATACTGTATGATATCACTTATATGTGGAATCTAAAAAAATAAAATAACTAGTGAATACAAGAGAAAAGAAACAGACTCACAGATATAGAGAACAAACTAGTGGTTACAAGTTGGGAGAGGGAAGTGGAGAGGGACAAGATGGTGGAGGGGATTAAGAGGTACAAACTACTATGTATAAAATGAATAAGATACAGCACAGGGAATATAACCAATATTTTATAATAACTATAAATGGGATATAACCTTTAAAAATTATGAATCACTTTGTTGTACACCTGAAACTTATATAATATTGTACATCAACTATACTTCAGGAAAAAGAGAAAAGGAGATAAACAACAAGGTCATACTGTATAGCACAGAGGACTATATTCAATATCCTATGATAAATCATAATGGAAAAGAATATTTTAAAAAAGAATGTAGGAGCTTCCCTGGTGCTGCAGTGGTTGGGAATCTGCCTGCCAATGCAGAGGACATGGGTTCAAGCCCTGGCCCGGGAGGATCCCACATGCCGCGGAGCAGCTGAGCCCGTGTGCCACAGCTACTGAGCCTCCACTCTAGAGCCCGCGAGCCACAACTGCTGAGCCCACGTGCCACAGCTACTGAAGCCTGCACACCTGGGGCCTGTGCTCCACAGCAGGAGAGGCCACAACAGTGAGAGGCCCGCACACCACAACGAAGAGTGGCCCCCACTCGCCGCAACTAGAGGAAGCCCATGCACAGCAACAAGTACCCAACACAGTCATAAATAAATAAATAAATAAATAATTTTTTTAAAAAAAGAATGTATATATGCTGTACAGCAGTAATTAACAGAACATTGTAAATCAACTATATTTAAAGGAAAAAATGCAAGTGGGATTGATTGTAGAATCTTTTTGTTTGGTTGAATAAAAAACTGAACAGATATATTTGTTGAAAAAAAAAAAGAAAAAAACCAAAAAGAATACTGTATCACATAATTGAAAGTAGCTAATTGACTAGATCTTAAAAATTCTCACCACAAGAAAAAAAAAAGTTCTGTAACTACGTATGGTGATGGATATTAACTACACTTATTTCACAACATATACAAATATCAAATCATTATGTTGTACACCAGAAATTACTAATGTTGTATGTCATTTATACCTCAATTAAAAAATCACGGGACTTCCCTGGTGGTCCAGAGGTTAAGACTCCACACTCCCAATGCAGGGGGCCCAGGTTCGATCCCTGGTCAGGGAACTAGATCCCGCATGCCTCAACTAAGAGCCTGCATGCTGCAACTAAAGATCCTGCATGCCACAACTAAAGATCCCACTCGCCACAACGAAGATGCCAAGTGCCACAACTAAGACCCAGGGCAGCCAAATAAATAAATAAATAAATAATTTTTTTTTAATCACAAAGAAAAAATTCATATATATGCCTAAATATACATAAAATACTACACAGATAGAATATTTCTGAAAAGATATCCAAGGAACTGTCAACAGTAGTGGCAGCCAGGAGAGAGATTGGGAGGAAGGGACCTGAAGTAGGAGGAAGATAATTTTTACTATGTATGCACTTTTGGAATTCTTTCCCTCATGTATGTACTGCTTTTTTAAAAAAATTGTAGTTATTAATTAAAAACACATTTTAAAAATAAACCAGTAGTGAGGATAATGGGCTACAAGTCCTGGTTTGCAAGGAACTGAGCAAGTGGCTAAACCTGTCTGTTTCTAGATAATCTCTGGCTGTCCTCACCTTGTTTCATTACTCATGCTTAAACAATTTCAGACAGACGTAGGAGAGGTAGGGAGAGTATGGAGCCTTCCATATTTTTAAAGACCTTTTGAAATATATGAGAGAAGATCCCTTCAATCACCAATTTTAGCATCGCACTCAGCAAAAAGCTTTTTGTATGTACATCACAGGAAGAAGATGAGTATGTAGACCAGAAATGTATAGTAGTGGTTAAACTACCTTCTGCCACTGTCAGCAGGGTTTTCTTTGTTTTTTTTTTAGCCCCCTCAGAGGCCAGAGATCTCACATGAGTTCTTACCAGCAAGGGTGTGTGAGTTTGGAGTGACTAGTGTAGGAAACTCCAATGAAGATGGCCTAACATGAATGCCCTCTAAATAGAACGTCAGGTCAGTGGGGAATGACCAGAAGAGTACTGGACTAAGAGTTGGGGCCCTTTAGTTCAGTTCCAGTTTAGTAGTTAAAATGCATTGGGCACTTTCTGGTGCCAAGCACAATACAGAAAGTAAGCACTTCATATTCACCATTAAGTCCTTACAACAATCCTTTGCTATAGATACTATATCCTTTGCTATAGATATTATATATCTCATTTTACACATAAGAAAACTGAGAGGTTAGGTAATACCTCAAGCCTCACGGTGTAAGTGATCACACTGATATTCAAACTCAAGTCAATCTCATTCCAAACTCTATTTCCTGACCATTCAACCATACTTTCCCACCCACCCCCTCCATTGCCACGCATTTATTGTGTGAACTTAAGCAAATCATTCTGCCTCTCTGCATCTGCTTCCACATTAGTATAATGGATTGTATCATTTCTCAGACCCCTTCCAAATCACTTTGAAGCCCTCTTCAAAGAACTACCTCTGGGCTTCCCTGGTGTCGCAGTGTTTGAGAGTCCGCCTGCCGATGCAGGGGACACGGGTTCGTGCCCTGGTCCGGGAAGATTCCACATGCCGCGGAGCGGCTAGACCTGTGAGCCATGGCCACTGAGCCTGCGCATCCGGAGCCTGTGCTCCGCAACTGGAGAGGCCACAAGAGTGAGAGGCCCGCGTACCGCAAAAACAAAAACAAAAACAAACAAACAAAAAAGAACTACCTCTTTCCCCTTATTCAGTGTAAATGAACCGATTTTTCGTCTCCTGCCTCAGAAGATTTACAGCCTCTCTATACTCTGCACTGCCACGTTTAAAGTGTTCTTCTGACCCCCTAACTTCTCAACCCTCCTGATGAAGTAGGGCACCAGGTTGAACTGTGGTCATGCTCCTCAGAAATTTAACCACTTGGCTCACAGATTCCCTATCCACCTCATTCTCTGCCATCATCCTGAAGCACTTCAACATCAACATGGATAACCCACCCAATACCTTGACTTCATGGATCCCAACTATGGCAACCATGTTCATGCCACATAGGCAATGCACTCACAGCCTCACTTTTTCCTTTACTTTCTATTAACATTGCTCTATCGGCAAGACTACAAGCTCTGAAATTCCTCTCTGTGCCCCCTTTCCATCCACCTCTTCCTCTGCCCAATTTCCATGGGGCCTACACATTACTCTAATCCTTGTCTTCATTCCTGATTTTTATAAAATCTGTTGGCATTTTCCCCTTCTATCCTGAATTTTCTTCTATTCAAGCTTCCAATTCAGAGAGAT